CCCTTCCAGCGGGGCCCCGCCAGAGCGAAGAGGGTATCAACAACCCGTGCTATTTACAAGGCTTCGTTTCCTGAGTACCTGTCCTCCCTCCTCCTTTCTTTCGTCTGCCCTTTCGTGCGTACTTACTCGTTCGATGAGCTTCTCCTTTAATTTTTTTTATTGTGGGGAACTGCGTTTGCATAATTTTACACTTGATTGGACTGCAATCGATTCCACTGGGTTTGCACTTGATTGGCTTGCAACCGATTGGATTGCAACCGCTGGGGGGGCGCACAGGGCAACGACGAGGAGGCGGCGACGGGACGGTGACGGCAACGAGCAAGGAACCGCCAGACCGACCCTCAGGCCAAGACGACGGGCGGCGACGACGCAGCAAGGGGGGGCGACGGCAAGGACGGAAAAACCAGACCGCCCCTCAAGCCCAGACGACGACGGGCGGCGACAGGGCGGCAACGGCGAGGAGGAGAGAGCCGCCAGACCGCCCCTCAGACGACCCAGCTAATACTAGGAAAGAACAGAGAAGGCCCCCTAAGTGCAAGCACTGTTTGGGAAATGTCATGATGTTCAATGTCAATGATGTTTTTCATCCGGTGCCAGTGCTGGCGCCGGCGCCGGTGCCGGTACCGGTGCCGGTGCCAGGGCTGGTGCCGGTGCGGTTGCGGGTGCGGGTGCCAGTGCCGGTGCTGGCGCCGGCGACGGCGCTGGTGCCCGTGCCGGTGCCGGTGCCGGTGCCGGTGCCGGTGCGGTGCCGGTGCCGGTGCCGGTGCCGGTGCCGGTGCCGGTGCCGGTGCCGGTGCTGCTGCCGGTGCCGGTGCCGGTGCCGGTGCCGGTGCCGGTGCCGGTGCCGGTGCCGGTGCCGGTGCCGGTGCCGGTGCCGGTGCCAGTGCCGGTGCCGGTGCCGGTGCCGGTGCCGGTGCCGGTGCCAGTGCCGGTGCCGGTGCCGGTGCCGGTGGGCGAGAATCGTTCTATAGTGGGCTGCGCTCGCATGGCACCGCCGCGCCAATTTCGGCACGCCCCTCACACGCTTCGTGGCCCCAGAGGGGAGCTCCACCGAAGGCCCCAGTGGCTGCGCTCGCATGACACAAACGCGCCCATGATGGCCCACCCCTCACACATGTCGTGCCCCATAATGAGCTCCACCGAACGCCCCACTAGCTGCGCTCGCACGGCACCGCCGCGTCCATTCCAGTACGCCCCTCACACGCTTCGCGCCCCCATGGGGTGCTCCACCGAAAGCCCCAGTGGCTGCGCTCGCATGGCACCACCGCTCCAAATTCGGCACGCCCCTCACACGTTTCGTGGCCCCACAAAGAGCTCCACCGAAGGCCCCCGTGGCTGCGCTCACATGACACCGCCGCGCCAATTTCGGCATACCTCTCACATGCTTCGTGGCCCCATGGGGTGCTCCACCGAAGGCCCCAATGGCTGCGCTCGCATGACACCACCGCGCCCATGTTGGCACACCCGTCGCACGTTTCGTCCCTCATAAAGAGCTCCACCGAAGACGATACCAACTCAGCGTTAGTCACAACTGCATATGGTTAGGTCTCTCGCCGTGATTTTTTATCAGCGAACGTCACTCGGGTCAAACTGTGTTGTTGGCCCCTGGGTTGCAACAACAACGGCTCCCGCCTGAGACTTCCTCACAATTTATCCAGGACCCCCGCTACCGCCTGAAACTTCCTCGCGTTTTGTCATCAGAAATCGCGCTCTCGCTTGAGCTTTGCTTGCGATTTACTAAAAATTAACGCTCTTGCGTCGGAATGTCCTGCGACTTACTCAAGCGCCGCGCTCCCGACACTCAAGCACCCAGGAGTCGCGCTCACGCTTAATTGAAACTCCTTCGCAGCTCACTTAAGAATCGGGATCTCGCTGCCCTTCGTGGCCCCGTTGCAACCCTTCGTGGCCCCATCGCTGCCCTTCGTGGCCCCGTTGCAGCCAATCGTTGCCCCCTCGCTGCCCTTCGTGGCCTCCTCGCTGCCCTTCGTGGCCCCCTTCGCTGCCCTTCGTGGCCCCGTCGCAGCCCTTCGTGGCCCCCTCGCTGCCCTTCGTGGCCCCGTTGCACCACTTCGCGGCCCCCTCGCTGCCCTTCATGGCCCAGTTGCAACCCTTCGTGACCCCCTCGCTGCCCTTCGTGGCCGCGTTGCCGCCTTTCGTGCCCCCGTCGCTGCCCTTCGAGGCCCCGTTGCAACCCTTCGTGGCCCCCTCGCTGCCTTTCTTGAACCCGTTGCAATCCTTCGTGGCCCCATCGCTGCCCTTCGTGGTCCCGTTGCAGTCCTTCGTGGCCCCCTCGCTGCCCTTCGTGGCCCCCTTGCTGCCCTTCGCTGCCCCGTTACAGCCCTTCGTGGCCCCCTTGCTGCCCTTCCTGAACCCGCTGCAGCCCTTCGTGGCCCCCTCGCTGCCGTTCGTGGTCCCGTGGCAGCCCTTCGTGGCCCCCTCGCTGCCCTTCGTGGCCCCATCTATGCATGCCCTTCGTGGCCCCCGCTCGCTCGCGCCCGTCGTGGCCCCATGCGCGTGCGCTTCGTTGCCCCGCCGTCGCCCTTCATGGCCCCCTCGCTGCCCTTCGTGGCCCCATTGCTGCCCTCAGTGGCCCCGTCCTTGCTCTCTGCGGCCCAATATGCGCATGCCCTTCGTGGCCCCCGCTCGCTCCTGCCCGTCGTGGCCCCATGTGCGACCCCCTTGGCTGCCCCGCTGTCGCCCTTCGTGGCCCCCTCGCTGCCCTTCGTGACCCCTCGCTATCCTCACTGCCCCCATCGTTGCCCTGTGGCCCCGCGTAATCTGCCCTTCGTGGTCCCCGCTCGTTCTCGCCCTTCGTGGCTCCACGCGCATGCCCTTCGTGGCCCCGCTGACGCCGTTCGTGGCCCCCTTGCTGCCCTTCGTGGCCCCATCACTGCCCTTCGTGGCCCCATCACTGTCGCTCTCGCTCTCGCTCTCGCTTTCGCTCGTCGTCGTCGTCGTCGTCGTCGTCGTTGTCGTCTTCGTCGTCGTCGTCGCGGTCGGTCCCCTGTCCGTCCTTCTTGGGGTTGGGTTGCCGCTGGTCAGCGTCTGCGGCCACCGGTCCGCGGCCGCCCTGCCGCTTGCCAGGGCACAGCCTGCAAGGAAGAAAGATACCCCCCCAAGGAGGGTACGATCGGAGATGGAAAAAGGCGGGTATCGAGGGTTTGCGAAATACGCGTTGGATGAAATTCGAACAAGTAAGAGCGACCAGTCATTAAATGGTTGTTGCTGTTGCTGTTGCTGTTGCTGTTGCTGTTGCTGTTGCTGTTGTTGTTGTTGTTGTTATTGTTGTTGTTGTTGTTGAACTCTCACTACTGAGGAATGATTACACTATTCGGCCTGACCTAAGGAACGACAGAGAAGGAACGAAACCCATTTTTTCCGAGGAAGTAGAGGAAGCCCGAAGGAACACCAAGGGGCTCGCCGCCAAACGCATTCAAACCGAAAGAACGACCGAACCCCTTTTGAAAAGTAAGTTTTTCTTTTTCTAGCCGGACCCTGTATTGTTGATCCCCCTCTGGTGACTATTGCATTTTTCCATTGAAGTGCTTCCCCCGGGGTTCGCACTGAGTTTTTTTAATCCGGGAAAAATCACGGGGCTCAAGCTGTGTTGTTGGCCCCCGGTTTACAACAACAGCGGCTACCGCCTGATACTTGCTTGCAATGTATTCCCAAATCGCGCTCTCGCGCGGGACTTTCTCACAAGTTGTATACGAATCGCGCTCTCGCGTGGGACTCCCTCGCAGTTTATTCAAACGATGCGCCCTCGGCGCTCAGGAATCACGCTCTCGCTTTGGCTTTTCTCACGATGCACTTCGAAATCGCGCTATCGCTCCAGACTTCCTCGCGATTCATGCAGGACCCACGCTTCGGCAACCCGCCTGCTCGACCTGGTCGCCTGGGCCCGCCTTCCCGACCTGCCCGCTATCGGTCTGCCCACCCGATCTGCCCATCTGGTTCTACCATTTGTTTTCTGCTCCTTGGCCCCCCTGCTAATTTCTTTCGTGCTCCATTCTTTTCCCTCTCCCTTCCACCCGTCTTCTCTTCCCTTCTTTTGGGGCCTCCACTAAAAGCACGTGGCAGGTAAGGAAGATATGCACCCAGGGGGGTACGATCGAAGACGGCGAAGGCGGGTACCGAGGGTTTGTGATAGACGTACTGAATGGCACGTGAGCAGATGGGAGCGAACAGTCTTAAAATGCTTGTTGTTGCTGTTGTTGTGGTGGTGGTGGTGGTTGTTGTTGCATCAGCGCTGCCGCTGGCCAGGCCAACTGTCCGCGGCCGCCCCGCCGCTTGCAGGGGCCTGGCCTGCAGGGAAGAAGGGTCTACCCCCCAAAAGGGGTACGATCGAAGACGAAGAGGGCGGGTATCGAGGATTTGGGAAATACGCCGCGTTAGCGGAGACAAGAACGAACACTCTTAATCTGATTGTTGTTTGTTGTTGTTGTTGTTGTTGTTGTTGTTGTTGTTGTTGTTGTTGTTGTGTTGCTATTGTTTGTTGTTGGTCTTCTTGTTGCTGTGCTTGTTTGTTTGTTTATTTGTTGTTTTTGTTGTTGATGTGTTTGTTGTTGTTGTTTGCTTGTTTGTTGCTTGTTTGTTGTTTGTTATCGTCGTCGCGCCCGCGACCCGGCCCGCGACCCACCCGCGACCCACCCGCGACCCACCCGCAACCCACCCCGCGACCCACCTGCGACCCACCCGCGACCCACCCGCGACCCACACCGCGACCCGCCCGCGACCCGCCTGCGTCCCACCCGCGACCCACCGTGCGACACGCCCGCGACGCACCCACGACCCACCTGCGACTAACCCGCGACCCACCCGCGACATACGCGCGACCCACCCGCGACTCACCCGCGACCACCCGCAATCCGCCCGCTTCCCACCCGCGATCCACCCCGCGACCCACCCGCGTCCCACCCGCGACCCACGCGCGCCCGCCCCTTCACTCTTATCCGCAACTGCGGAATGCATTTGTTTTTTTTGTTGTCCTGGGTGGGCGCGAGGAAACCGCCGTGGAAACTCTTGAAGGCAACGCGCCCGCTCGGAAGCCACACCTCCTCGAACGTCTCCCAGTCGCCCATGCTATCGCCGTCCACGGTGACGGAGCCGTCACTCTGGGCCGTGACGTAGGTTCCGTGGTGGCTGAGCAAACCGACTTTGCCCTTCCCAGTGCCCTCAACCACCCGGAACCTCTCCAAGATGCCCGCCTCCTTGCTGGAAGCGCGCAGGGGCCAATCTAACAGGGGCCTGCCCAGGCGGCACGTCCCAGACACCATGTCGTCTGTCTCTGGCCTTAGTTGTTCTGGTGAGCACTGAGTACGTGTTTGATTGTCAATTATTTTTTCGGCTTGGTTAATTCCCACATCCAAAATGGGGTTCTTATGTTCCCGGCCCCCCCCCGCTGGATCTCCTCTTCCTCCTCCTCCTCCTCCTTCTTCTCCTCCTCATCCTCCTTTCTTCCTCCCCTTTCTCTGCCTCGTTCACACACCCACACACGCATCACACTCACCATCATCATCATCATCATCATCATCATCATCATCATCATCATCATCATCATCATCATCACCATCATCATCAGCATCGCCATCATCATCACCATCATCGCCATCGTCATTACCACCACCACCATCACCATCGTCATCAGCATCGTCATCACCATCATCATCATCATCATCATCATCATCATCATCATCATCATCATCATCATCATCATCATACGTATCATAATCTTCATAATCATCACCATCCCCACTTCCATCACCATCATCACCATCATCATCTCATCATTACTCCTCACCACTATACGCACTCCCACGCACTCACATACCCAACTTGGGGGAAGTCTGGAGCGGGAACCCCCTGCCTGTAGGGCCCGCGCTACATGTTGGGAATCCGAGCGGGTCACCGGAAAACTCGACCAAACATACACTTGAGACCCTCAAGGGGGCAAGTCGTGAGGATGTCTCAATCGGGGGCCTCGTCTGTGAGTGAATTGCAAGGAAACATGAAGCGGAAACCCCCGCCCTATGGAGCCCGCGCTTCATGTTGGTAATCCTAGCGGGTCATCGGCAAACCTGCCAGGCATAGCACTTAAGAACTGGAAGGGGACAAATTGCGAATATGTTTCAAGCGGAAGCCTCGTCTGTGACTTGCAAGGAAGTCTCAAGCGGAAGCCCACGCCCTATGGGGCCCGCGCTTCATGGTGGTAATCCGACTGGGTCCTTGGCGAACTTTACCAGGCATATCACTTGAGCACCCAAAGGGGGCCTCGTCTGTAATATAATTATAAAGAAATCTCAGGCGGGAGCCCCCACCCTTTGAGCTCCGCCCTTCATGTTGGCAATCCGAGCGGGCCATGTGCAAACTCTACCGCGCATAACACTTGGGAACCTCAAAGGGGGCAAATCGCGGGGATGTCTCAAGCGGGGGGCCTCGTCTGTGAGTGAATCGTACGGATTCTCTCGCGGGAGCCCCCGCCCTACGGGGCCCGAACTTCATGTTGGTAATCCGGGCGGGTCATCTGTAAATCCTACCATTTACAGCACTTGAACACCCCAGTGGGGCAAATCGTGAGGATGTCTCAAGCGGGGGCCTCGTCTGTGAGTGATTTGCAAGGAAATCTCAGGCGGAGCCCCCTCCCCTCCATCCAGGGGGGGGGGGTCCAGTTCCAAACCCCCCTCCCCTGCCAAGCGACCACAGAACGCGCTCATTCTTCTTTTTGAACAAGCAGCAAAACATTTTTTTTTTTTTTTTGTTTTGTCGGTTTTAACACGGCCAATGCGCTGAAATGAACCCGGCGCGACCTAATTTGGGGAACGCTTCCTGGGCGTGATTTGCCTTTCTTGGCATTGCATTGCGCTGCTTGAAAGAACAACAGCTCAGGAGCCCAGGGAACCCGCGCAAGGCCTTCTCAGTAACCGTAAGGAAACAAATTCAAGGCATCTGGGGGGCCCGAAACACAGTAAAGAACCTGGAGCAAGGAAACCAGGGAGCCCGAGGGAAGCCTCTTCAACAAAATCAGTGAGGACGAACAACCTAGGAACCTGGTGATACGATGAATGTTTCTTCAACAACAATCAGACAACAAGACCAGGTAACCCTGAGAACCCGAGGAAGCTATCTTCAAGGAGCCTGTGCAATGCTTTGTTACGAAACAAAACCAATGAACCCTGGGAACCTCTTTCCAATCAAACAAAAACAAGGAACCACAGGGAACCCGGCGACGACTGCGCTTGGCATCCACCTGTTCTTCACCACAAACAGATCTGCCATAGTGCCGCTGGGCACGGAGTGGGCGTGTCCTCAAGTCCTTTGCCAAATCCCTCATGCACTCCTGCTGAGTCTTCAAGGCGCCCGGACCGTAATGTCCGAAATCTCTTGGGGCTTGTCGCGCCTTGTCGCTTGAATTTTTCGCAACCGAGAGGCCCCAAGATGGGCCCACCGGGCCCCACGAGGCCCCCAAAACGGTCCAAGAGGACCCCGAGTCACCGACATATTGATCCACGACGCTCAAGATGGCTTCACGATGGCCCAAGAGGCCTCCAAGACGCCCATAGAGCCCTCAAAGATGCCAGAAAACCCGCATCATTGATTCACCGCAGGTTCTGAAAGATGTTGGTTTTTGCTTTTTCTGTTCCGACGATCCAAGACTGCCCCAGAGGCCCCACGAGGCCTCCAAGAGGGCCCCAAGACGGCCTAAGATCGCCCCACAACGGCCCAAGAGGCGCCCAAGACGGCCCCCAAAGGGACCCAAGAGAGAAGGGACACGAACCGAAAATCCGAGCCTTCCGCCCCCAGAGGCCCCACGAGGCCTCCAAGAGAGCCCCAAGACGGCCTAAGATCGCCCCGCGACGGCCCAAGAGGCGCCCAAGATGGCCCCCCCAAAGGGCCCGAGAGACGGAGCACGAACCGAAAATCCGAGCCTTCCGCCTCAAGAGACTCTCAGGAGTCTACAGGCTCCAAAAGGCCCCAAGAGGCCCCCGAGAGGTCTAAAAGAGGCTCCAGAGCGGCCCCAAGAGGCATCAAAATTGCCTCCAAGAGCCCCCCGAGAGATCTCCCACGAGATCCCAATGAACATCGAATAGACTTCATACCTACAGCCCAAACGCAGTGGCGGGATGGGCCGCAGGCCATTAGATAAGATCTCCTTAGGCGAAACCGAATTGGGGGAAAGGCAACCCAAGAAATGGACGTCACGCAAACGGCAATGTGTTATCAAAAAAGCGTGGCAACGACGACACGAGCACCGGAAGTACACGGGTAAGTGGGCCACTGACCGACATAAGACTTTGAAACATAACAGAACTGCGCCCCCGAACGTTTAAACACCATACAAAGAACACACACACACACACGGGAGCACGCCAATCGAGATTGCTGCTTAAGAGCATCTAAGTCCTTGGCCACGCGACGTAGCCCCCATCGCACGGCCCCCTCTTCAGCCAGCACGTGCGGTCGCGGCTGGGGTCGAAGGCGTAGCACTTGCAAGCCTCCGTGCCCTCGCAGCGGCTCCTGCACGAACTCGCCGTGGAGTTCGGGTACTTCCCGCCCGCGCCGTCCTCGAGGGCCTTGGCGCCATTGAGGTCCTTCCCAAGGAGAAGGAGGAGGACGAGGAGGAGGAGGAGAGATGAGGAGGAGGCGGGGAAGGAAGAGGAGGAAGAGGAGGAAGAGGAGGGGGGGAGGAGAGAGGAGGAGAGAGGGAGGAGGAGGAGGGGAGGAGGAGGAGGAGGAGGAGGAGGAGGAGGAGGAGGAGGAGGGAGGAGGAGGAGGAGGAGGAGGAGGAGGAGGAGGAGGAGGAGGATGAAGAGAGGAACGAGGGGACACAAGGGAGGCTACGGAGGAGAGGAGGATAAGGAGGGAGGAGGAGGAGGAGGAGGAGGGAGGAGGAGGAGGAGGAAGCGGAAGAGGGTGCTGCTGATGATGCTGCTGCTGATGATGGAAGGAGGAGGAGGAGGAGGAGGAGGAGGAGGAGGAGGAGGAGGAGGAGGAGGAGGAGGAGCAGGAGGAGGAGGAGCAGGAGGAGGAGGAGGAGGAGGAGGAGGAGGCGGAGGAGGAGGAGGAGGAGGAGGAGCAGGAGGAGCAGGAGGAGGAGGAGGAGAAGGAGGCGGAAGAGGATGCTGCTGATGATGATGCTGATGATGATGCTGACCAGGAGAAAGGAAAGAGGCAGAGCAGGAGGAGGAATCGGCGGAGGAAGATGAGAGAGGATACAGGAAGGGGTATGCGCTCGCGCCGTATCTTTCATCCTACCCCTTCCCACCCACCCCTTCCAATTGCGTTGTGCTTCCCAATTTGCCGACGCACGCCAGAACAGACCTGGAGCTCCAAAGATGGCCCCATCGTGTTGTGTGCAATCGGAGGAAAAAAAGCGGTGCTTACACTGGGGGAGGAGGTAGCGGATGAGTGCGAGGATGGGCAGGATGTTGTTGTTGTGGGGCAGCCTGCAGCCAGAACGGCAAGCTAGAGCAACCCGCTGGATGCGGCGGGGGATAACTCGCGGGGAGCGGGCGAGCACGGACTTCAAATCCTGCTCCGCGGGGCTCAGTCCATGCGGTGCAGACGAGGCCAGGTCTCTCGTTGTGGCCCTGTAGTGAGGGTGCCGCTCGTTGCGAATGCGGCGGATCTGCGAGATGACCTCCGAGGAAACAGGGCGACCACGACAGGGACCCCTCACCATTTCCCCACGCACGAAAACCTCACACTATCCGCCGCAACACGCGCAGAAACAGATGATCGCCCCACCACGCTGCGGACCTACGGCCTCGCAGCGCATGAGCGGGTGACCATTCACGTAGAAGGCTTACGTGGCCAAGTCGGCCCAATCAAGACCTTTCCCACCCGTCCCTCGACGCCTTGAGGGGCCGCGTCAACCTCAGGGGGCGCAAGCTCTGGCTGAGGCTCATAGGAGGCAACGACCGGGTGGCACTCGGCAGGGTCCAATGCCACCGTGTCGAGCCTAGACTTATCTACCGCCTGAAGATGCATCTCCAGAGGGGGGAGGACGACGAGGACGAAGAGCAGTAGTAGGAGCTGGAGGAAGGAGCGGGGGGAGCAGGAGGACAAGGGGAAGGCGGAGGAGGGGAAGTAAGGGGGGCGACAACTATGAAAAATAAACCGGATCCAGAAAAATGGCCCGAGCTGGCGAGAGAACACGATTGCGAACGACGGGAGCAAATCGTCGATCCGTGAATGAGGCCCAAAATGAGGCCCACACTGCAGCGGCACAACTGTTGTGAGGCACTGGAAACAATCGGATTGTAAAGCACCATAGGATCGCATCATTTTCGTTTGTCCTGCGCGTTGAGAAAACATGCGGAGGGGGCCGCCTATCTTTCGGACAGGGTCGGGGGAGAAAGCAGAGCAGTGTTCGTAATGTTCCACTGCAAAAGAAGGGGAGGAGGACGAGGATGAGGAGGAACGAGACAGGAACGAGAGGAGGGAGGAGGAAGAGGAGGGCGTTTGAGGTCCTTCCCAGTCACGGTGGTGCAGACCTGTCGGCGGGCCCCGTGGTCTTCCTTGAGGGCGTTCGCCGCCAGCTTGCCACCGTCGTCCGACTGGGTGCTCATGGGCCAGTCGAACACAGGCCGCTGCTCGTGGCAAGTCCCGCTGGTCATGTCGGCGGTCTCGTCCCACCCGTAGAACTGGTCGCAAGCGCCGCCCTTGAGCCAGCAGGTCTTGTTACGGCTGGGGTCGAACGCGTAGCCGTTGCAGTCCTCGGTCTTCTCACACCGCTGGCGACACGTGGCAGCATCGTCGTCGCTGAACTTCAGTTCTTTGCCGTCATTGGTCAGCACGTCGGCCATAATGTCCTTGCCAACCTCGCTGGTGCAAACCTTCGGGCGCATCTCGCGACAAAGTCCGATCGTCATGTCCCCGGACTCATCCCAGGTGTGGAGCTCGTTGCATGGGCTTTTCTTGAGCCAGCAAGTCCCATTGCGGCTCGGGTCGAACGCGTAGCACCCACACTCGCGGTTCTTCTGGCAGCGCTCGAGGCAACCGTGAGCATCCTCGCCCGTGGTGCTATGGCTGCCCTCGACCGCGTCGCCGAGGATGTCCTTCCCGGAGACGGCGGTGCAAGTCCGTGGTCTGACGTCCACCAGGACTTTCCGGTCCACGGCAGGATCGGCGGGAGACCAACGGGGGAGGACCTTCTCCTCCTGGTCCTGCTCCGTGGCCGCCGGCGTCCGCTGCATCTGGGAGAAAACGCCGGCCTTGAAACTCGTCAGTGCCGCGGCCGTCGCCACAGCTACCAGCCCCAACGCTGCCGTGCCAACCAGGGCCGGGCGAGTGCAGGCGAAGGCCCTGCCTCCGAGATCACTCTGCGTCGTCTCGGTCTGCCTCTGCTGCTCGGTCGGGGCTGCCTCCTCGGTCTGCAGCAACGCCTCCACGTCGTTCCCACTAGGCGACCCCATCTCCCGTATCGTCGGCTGGGCCCGTGCGAAAGTGCTTGTGGCGCTGAAGCGGGGCTGGCTGCTCCCAGCCTTGAGCCAAATGCTACGGGTTCCTGCATGTTCACCCCCACCCTCCTGCGCTAATGGGCCCTCACTTTCCTTCAAGCTGCGCTGGGCGCCGAACCCTCTCGCACCTCCAACGACTCGATTGTTCTCGAGTCCCTGGCCCCTGGAACACTCGAAACCTTACTCAAAACCATTGTTTTCCCCGAGTCAACTTTTGACGGTCCCGCGGCCCTGAAGTGGGGGGGGGCTCCGACATGTTTGACCCGAGCCGCTAGAAGTCTGGCTTTTTGCCTGCCCCTGCCCCTCCTCCCTCTGCTGCTTATCCTCTTTCTGCTTCTGCCGCAACTGCTGTTATTGCTCCTGCGGCCGCGGATGCCGTGAGACACGTCGTGCACCATCACATTTGCGAAACATTGTGCTCTTGATGCTTGCTGGCCCTCCGCTGGGAAGCCGAGAGCATGTACACCCCCAGCTCCTTGTACCCGGATGCGCCGTGAACGTAGATCCAAATTACTTTTGCATGCTCCTGCGCAGCCTCCAAGCTCGGCTAAACTTTGGGGTTGCACTCAGCGTGTGTTCAGATACCTCGTTGGGTGCTGTCTAGGCGTAGTCACTCCTCAGACAGTGCTTGCACTTAAGAGTCCTTGCTCGTTTTTCAAAGAACTGGGCTGGTCGCCCCGTCGCCGCCACGTCGCCGCCCGTCGCCGCCACAACTGGGCTGGTCTGCCGCCCTGGCTGGCTTGTTGTCGCCCCGTCGCCGCCCCGTCGCCGCTCGACGCCGCCCGTCGCCGCCACCTCGTCGCCGCAACCCACAGATTGCACCGTGTAGCTTGCAATCTTGCGCCATGTAGAGTTTCTTTTCTAAATGAATATAAGGATCTCCCCCCCAGGGGTTAACGGGCCACCTTTCCGCATTGCAATTTACATTTGGTTCTGCCCCATCGTCCATCCTAAATGTGAACTCGCACCAACCCAGGCAGGCTGGTATCGGTTACCCCCCCTCACCCCCCCGCCAATCATTTGATGCGCGCGCGTTCGTTTATCAAAATCAGAAGCTGTCAAGGATCCCTTGCAACTCATGGGACGAAAGGCGCACGCACGCGTCATCGCGCACACGCGTGCCGAAATCTGTAAACAACCCCAAACGGTTTCGCAGGGATTTCAGAAGTGAGTGTCCCGAAAACATATTCGCGACAACACTTATCAAAACAGAGTTTGCGTTATTCCTCTCGCAAATTCTTAAAGAAGCCACGTTTCAATATATTCATACAATGCATCCAAACGGGCCTTTCGCCCGCGCGTGCTGGAATCGCACGAACGCTCTTGCGCGCGTGCTGTCGCAACAACGCCTTGCAACATATGGGACGAAGTGAACACGCGCTCGTCGTCGCGCGCGTATGCCGAAATCCTTCGAAAACCTTCATCGCCGACGCAGGGCTCGTACGTATGTAAAAAAACGAGTGTCCCGAAAACATATCAACACACGTGATTTTGCAACATCCGTCTTCAAAAAGTCCGGCATTCGCGATCTTGCGGATTCTTGAAAAACCATAGGTTTCCCAACACGTTCATCAAATTCTGCCAAACGGGCCTCTCGCGCCACAGGTCGAATTCATTCTAACGTCCTTTGTGAGCATGCTGGGGATGGGGGTGCGGGGGCACGATCCGTGGCAAATAACACCACGCGGGCCACTCGCGCGCGTCGGCCGCGCGCGCATGTCGAATTCCTTCGAAAACCTTCATCACCGACGCGAGGACATCGTCATTGTTATCGGCGGGCGTGATCAACATCGGCGCTGTCATTGGCCTTGCAGTCGTCATCGCCACCATCACCACCATCATCGCTACTCACAAAATCGTGCCTACCGTTGTCGGCGTCGCCATGATGTCGCGCCCGCCCAAGTCACCGACTCGCACTGAAGTGCCCGGTGGGAAGTGCCCAGCGGTCAGCGCCACCGCGGCCGCGTCGTTCGCGCCAAACTAGCTGGCCGGTGTGCGCGCGAGCATGCGCGGGCTAGCGCGGCCGCAAGGATGCACCAGCCAACGCGAAGCACTCATCGTCATCGCCGCCGTATGGGTTTTTCAAACCAAGTTGCGGGTGGGTGGGTGGGATGTGTGCAAGGGCGTTGGAATTGTCAACTCATTTGTGCATATCAGTTGCACCACGTAGATTGCAGCCTCTGGCTTACGCCACATAGCTTGCACCACAAACGCTGCACCACGAAAGATTGCACCACACAGATTGCACCATCTAGATAGCACCACATAGACTGCACCATATTGATTGCACCACGTAGATGGCACCACATAGCTTGCACCACATAGACTGCACAGTACAACTTGCACCACTTGCACCTCAACTACTCTTCTAATCGAGAGTTCGGTAGTACCACCCCCATGGGATTATCAGACCGGCCTCGCGTTTTGCAGTGTACATCTGCTTCTGCCCCATCGCTCATTCTAAATACGACCTCGTGCCATCCAAGCCAAGTTGGCGCCCCCCCCTCTGCGACACACAGTACTGTGCGCGCGAGCCCGTTTATCACAAACCATCAGTTGTCAACAACCCCTTGCAAGGGATCCACCGACCCAGTCGGCGTGTGAGAAAGGCCCTTCGGCGCGAGACCAGCCCAACACAAACTAAAGTGCGCCAGCCTCCTTTGAATTGTCGTCGTCGTACGGGAGATCAAAGAAACAAGGAGGATCGAACAATGTACGGGGGGATGGGTCCCTGGGGGGGGGGTCCCGGCAGGTGGTCCCGGGGAGTGGTCCTGGGGGGGCGGGGTTCCCGGGGGTTGTCCCGGAGGCTTTTCCCGTCGGTTTTCGCCTCCCAGACGCTCGCCCCCGAAGACATACGGCTCTCCTCATCCTTCTCCTCTTTCCCCTCCTCCTCTTTCTCCTCCTCCTGCTGCTGCTGCTGTTCCTCCTCCTCCTCCTCGTCCTCGTTCTCGTCCTACTCCTCCTCCTCCTCCTGCTCCCCGTCCTCCTCCTCCTCCTCCTCCTCCTCCTCCTCTTCCTCCTCCTCGTACTCCTCGTCGTCCTTCTCCTCCTCGTCCTCCTCGTCCTCCTCGTCCTCCTCGTCGTCGTCGTCGTCCTCCTCCTCCTCCTCCTCCTCCTCCTAGTCCTCCTCCTCCTCCTCCTCCTCCTCCTCCCTTCCTCCTCCTCCTCCTCCTCCTCCTCCTCCTCCCTCCCTCCCCTCCTCTCTCCTCTCCCCTCCTCTTTCCTCTCCTCCTCCTCTGCTCCTCTCCGTCCTCCTTTTCCCTCCTTCCTCCTTTCTCGTCCTTCCCCCTCCTCCTTTTTCTCCTTCCCTCCTTTCCTCCTCCTCCGCCTCCTCCTCTCCTCCTCCTCGTCCTCGTTTTCGTCCTCGTTTTCCTGCTCATCCGCGTCATCTTTCGTCCTCCTCCTCCTCCTCATCCTCGTCCTCTTCCCCTTCCCTCTCTTCTCTTCCTCCTCCTCCTCCTCCTCCTCCTCCTCCTTTTCCCCCTTCTCTTCGTTTTCCTCCTCCTCCTCCTCCTCGTCGTTTTTCCTCCTCCTCCTCCTCCTCCTCCCCCTCCTCTTCTTCCTCTTCCTCCTCCTCCTCCTCCCCCTTCTCCTCCTCCTCCCGATCCTCCACGTCCTCCTCGTCCTCCGCCTCTTCCTTTTCCCCCTCCTCCTCCTCCGCGTCGTTTTCGTCCTCCTCCTCGTCCTTGTCCTCGTGGTCCTCGTCGTCGTCGTCGTCCTCCTCCTCCTCCTCCTTCTCCTTCTCCTCCTCCCCCCGCCGCCCGCCCCATGTCCCGAGCCGGCGGCAGGGTCATCAGCTCGCCGTTGTCGTTGTCGTCTTGCTCGTCGTCGTCGTCGTGGTCGTCGTTCTTCTGGGTCGGCGGCGCTGGCCACAACGCCTTCCCAATATGACAACATCCCCACGCGCGCGGTGTCGCGCGCGCATGCCGAAGCCAGTGGACAACCTTGGGTTTCGCATGGGCTTCACAAACGAGTTTCCTGGCACCTGTAGAGCGTTAGTGGGTTCGCAGCATGGTTCTTCCCCAAAAAAGCGCCCGGGCTGTTGCGAATTTGTACGTACACCGCGTATTTGCAACATGTTCATCACATGCGACCAAGCGGGCCTCTCGCGCGCGCGTGTCAAAATCATTCGGACGCCCTTGCGCTCGTGCTGGGGGGCTCGCGCTGGTGGGCACGGTTCCTGTTCAATCGTAGAATGCGGGCCGCTCGCGCACGTCGGCTGCGCACGAATGCTGGAATCCTTCCAAAATCTCCATCGCCGACGCGTGGGCACCATCCTCGTCATCGGCGTGATCAACATCGGCGCCGTTATCGGCCATGCCGCCGTCATCTTCATCACCGCCACCGTCATCGTTACTACCATCACGGTGTCTGCCTTTGTCGACGTCGCCATGATACCGCACCCGCGCGTGTCACTGACTCTCACTGAAATGCCCGCGCGTCAGCGCGGGACGCGCTGGGGAGTTCCCAACGGTCAGCGCCACCGCGGCTGCGTCGATCGCGCCAGGCTAGCTGGCCGATCCGCGCGCGAGCCTGCGTGCGGTAGCGCGGCCGCAGCGGTGCGCCAGCCAGGGCCAAGCAGTCATCGTAATAGCCGCCGCGTGGGTTTTGCAAACCAGGTTGCGGGTGGGTGGGTGGGATGATCGCGCAAGCAGTGGAGTTGCAAGCTCGCTGCGAACACAACTTGCATGCACCACATCGGTTGCACCACATGGCTTCCACACATTGGAAAACTCATATATATATATGTATGTATATATAAAGATCTATATATATGTATGACTGTATGACTGTGTGTATGTAGGTATGTATGTATGTCTGTACGTATGTATTCCTGTATGCATGTGTGCATGCATGCATGCATGTATGTATGTGTGATTGTATGTATGTGCGTACATCTATGTACATATATGTATATGAAATATTACACACCGAATGCGACACGTGTATTGCACCACGTACTATGCTGGAACACGCTGTTGTGGGCCCACGCTGGCTCACACATACATTTGGCGTCTCAGGGGCCCCGACGGGGTATCGAGA